ATGGGACAAACAAAATTTACCTGTCACTCTCATGTATCAAAGGTATCATTAAAAAAAGCGGTGCGTTTGTACCTGGGTGGCCAAGTGACAAAATGGGGACAAAACATTTTTTTTTTAATTTTAATTTATGACTGACAACATCGGATTGAAGCGGCGCTTTTTTGATAAATTTGTTTTATTGGTAATATATTTTAAGTTTCTTTTTGCATTACATGTCTCACTACTGTACACAGGTTAGATCAGCTGCGATCTGTGTGACACATCGAGTATATAACCAGAAATAGAGACGAAATGTCATTTAATTTGTTTGAAAACTATTCTGCCATATCATTACGGTGAGAACTGAGCTCCGATTGGCCAGCCCGAATTCGAAACAATTGACGGGTGTCGTCAATTGTTTCAAATTGAAATATTACATATGTAATATTTAATTACCGATGAAATGTGATTCCGTTTGTTTTGTAATTAGATGTTTTGCTGTTTTTCCCACACCACCGAAGGAAGCTGCCCAACCGAGTCAGATTCAACAATGATAATTTCATAAACCATATTATAAAGGCGCTCTTTTTAGTTCTGAATCAAAATTCTATTGTCTGTGGTACTCGCAACTGAGCTGAAAAATTTCTTAAAAAAGAACGTCTTATTTTTGCTAATTAAAATATCAAATATGTCGCTAGTCAAACGTTCCACTGCCCACTGCCTCCTGATGGCTGAAAAATGATTGGTTAAAATATTATACACCTAAACATTACTTGGCCACTTCTATCTACTTCTTTATTTATAATATCAAGTTATAGAACGAACAAGTCGTGCGCCTGATGGTGCAGTGCCATTTAGAGCATTAAATCGCAAAGACCTAAGGGACACTGCCAGTGCGCCCAAGACCATGAGTCACAAATTGACAAATCCCATGTGCCTGTAAGTTCAACAGCACCCTTACCCTTCAAAACCGGAACGCAGTAACGCTCACTTTACTGTTTGGCGGCAGAAATAGGTTCATCAGTTCTTACCTTACTCGATTTCAGTAAAGATTAAAAAAAAATAGAAAACAGTGATCCAGTTTAAAAGACGAATATTTTTGAATCAATTATTAAAATTTCCGAAAGTCCAAACAGCCGGACGACATCTGTCGGGCTAAAAACCGCAATATTTCTTAAAATTACTAGCCTTACAAAATTAGTAGGCAGTGGTCAAATTTGTTGCAATCTGTACTTGTGGTTGGACCACCGGGTTTCTTTCTATATATCGTGTCTTAATATAATGTAGTCCTAATTTTTCTTTGCCCAACTAACTTCCCTTTATAGACATGTTCGGTGAGCTCCTTTTCGAAAGAGTACGTCCAGCCAAACCCTACCTTTGCCACCGTTCTGGTTTTGATGGATAAGGGTCCTGGTGAAATTACAGGCACATGGGACTTGTCAACTTATGTCTCAGGGTGACGGGTGCAGTGGCAGTGCCCATAAGATCTTTGCGATGTAAACCTGTGAGCGCTAATGCAACTATTATGATCACGATCACGGCTGTAATGAGAAGAAAAAGACCCGAGGGCTTTATTTGGTACATTTTAGTCAAGTTAGCCTGCATAAAATCATACTAATTACGTGCAAGTGTGATAAAAACATTGTAAGTTTCACGGGCGGTACTTAGATGCTAAGTCTCGTTCGTCATTCCTAATTTATCGTCCTTATTATAGAATTTTCTTTTTATTGAAAATAAGTGCGCATTTGACCTACATCTCACCTGATGGAAAGTGATGATGAGGTCGAGGATGTAGCATGCACACCTAACTAATGCCTATTCACTCTCGTCTTGAAAAGATCCAAGTTATAACGATCGGAGAATAAGTCCGCAGGTAAGGAATCCCACTCCCTAACCGCTCGCCATATAAATATGGAAGCGAAACTCTTTGTGCGAATCCTGGGGATATCCACAACATAGGGATGGAATCTCAACCCACTTCTAGTCCCCCGACGATGGAAAGGTGAAGGCGGAATCAAATGATGCAATTCCATCGCACGCTGTCCGTTATATGTCCTGTAGAATACCGATAAACAGGCAACTGTACGGCGGTGTTCAAGGCTCTGCAGCTTCGCCTCCACTAATTCCGAGTCACTTATAAGCCTATTGGCACGCTTGTCTATTGAATCCAAGGTGGCCAGTTGGTATTTAACAGAGCCATCCCATAAGTGGCAGCAGTACTCCTTACACGACCGGACTTGTGCTTGGTACAGCTGAAGCAACTGACCCGGTGTGAAGTAATGCCCCACCTTGGAAAGGATGCCAAGCTTCCTGGCTGCATTTTTGGTCACGGATTCAATGTATCTGCCGAAGTTCAGTACCTATATTAACCAACATCACTTACGTTGCTAAAGTAAAGCACTTGTGTTATGAAAATCGGAAACAACGACGGTACCACAGACACCCAGACCCGAGACTATATTTCTATATTTCTAATTTGGAAAAGTTTTTCGTCATTGACCCGGCCGGGGATCGAACCTCAGAGATGGCGACACCATGAAAACCGGTGCGCAAGCTACTAGATCGCGGAATTGTAGAATCGTATCCATTATGAATTTGTGGCTTTGTGAAAACAACTGTCAAGAACAGCTAACTTATTTTTATTTGTAACATTTTCATAAAATTGCATTATTCTTCAAATAATATTTTCATAAATATACTGTGACGTATCTTTCAAAGACATTTTGGTTGGAATAGAGATTTGGAGCATATAATAATAACCTTTACTATTATTTTGTCTTTTTCACTAAAGTTTTAGTTCTTCGTTATAATCGCCCATGGATATTTGCAACACTAGAGGAGCTCTTTGCCGGCCTCAAGAACCCTGTTTATTCGCTTTGTAAATTAACCCACGTTCCATCGCAAAGGAAATACTTGTAGAACATCCTGTATATATTTTAGTGGTCATTTTAAAAAATATAATAATTTATCATCATGTGGTTTCTACAGTGACCACTAATAAAGGTAATATTGACTTAACGAGGACCATTGTTTGTTTAAAAGGAAAATAATAATAAAAAATTTAGTACCAATAGTTACGACCAATAAGAACATCTGCGATACGTTTTATTATTCCAGTAGGACAATATTATTTTCTTGTATATTAATCGACACTGGAAAGATAAAGTGTGTAACGTGCCTTTCGGAAATATTACGGAAAAGCGATTATTTGAAATATACAAATAAACTACAAAAAAAACTTAAATACTAGAAAGTAAAACTAGGATTTTTAAATTATATGAATAAAATTGAGTCCCCGCGGCAAGGTGCACAAGATGCTGGCAGCGTTCCCCTTTGTATGGCTACTCTAGTGCGTTGGGCAAGGTAGCTGCCGGCCCCTAGGTTTCCCAGACAGATTTAATACAGAAGAAGGGCACCAAAGGCTGTAAATAGGTAGTCGGAGCTGAGGTCCTAGTAGTTATTACTCTTTATTAAGTGGGTCGGCACACGAGAGAGAGCGATTTATTTAAACATTTGCAAAATTTATTATTGTTGTATGCAAAACTGTAAAGTTTCAGCATTTCGAGAGTGTTTTTATAAAATGGGACGGTATGGGGAAATTCGAAACCATAGAAGATACACGGAAACTGTCCTAGGAACCATTAAGTCTTTTTTTGTGGAAACGAATTTGGCATAGTCAATTTTTTGGTCACGCACCAAGTTATCCATAAAAATGATACAATTTTTTTTAGTGCCGATCGACTCAGTTGTATTATTATTACTTAATTACATTTACATTAACAAATTTAATAAAAAACAGTTTTGTACTATTGTGATAGTGTTTTGTACTGTGTACCGTCTAAGCTCTAGGGTATCTCTCAGAGAAAAGTTTAAAGAGACTGGTATCATGACTGTGGCATCACGGTACATTTACTCAAATATTTTATATGCCCGTAAAAATTTACATAATT